ATGGCAAATATTTAAAAAAATATGTTCCTTCCTTATGGGAGAGTGAACAAATAAAAGCGTAATCAAATCGCGTTGAACGATCGTATATAAAAAGGGCCAGAACGAAATACGTTCAAATAAATTCCTTTATTATCAAACATTCATTACAAATTACAAGATACAAAATACTAAATGCTCTATAAGCTACAATTGAGAGCAAACTAATCTCTCGATCGATCGCCAAGTAAGAGGGTGAACTAGCCTTGATTGCCATCCTGATCGCACTGTTGCAAAGGCAAGCAGCAAGGTCGAGAAGCACTCTCAGCAAGCAGAAAGGAAGAGAAGCACCCTCACATTGCCTACCTAAATGCATCGCTGCAATAACGGGTAAGAAGACTGAGAAGCACTCTCAGTAAGCAAGGTGGCTTGACAGGCATCCTCAAAAATTGCCTTCCATCATTGAACTCCTTGTAAAAAATATGGAGACGATGGGAAGAACTTTGCTGGCCAAAAAATATTTTCTATATCTTCCATACCAAAGGTGATATCAAAATAGGTAGTAAAATGGGCGGATCAAATGATCCATTTTCGTGGAAGGCGAAAATTTTCGATCGATTGTTGAAATGCCAAACGATGGCAGTAAATTAGTTTTTGAAGAAAAGAATGGAAATGAAAATGAAAAGTGCGAAATAGACGTGCATTTATAGGGGCATGAAGGTGAAGAGACAGAATATGAACGCCCGCATTTGAGCCTAGTATTTGGAGTCAAGTGGCCCAAAGTCTTGGGAAAAGAGATAGAAATATCAAGAGAAGATGTACATGAATCTTAGCATGAAGCAGTTAAATGCTTGGGGGATTGACGATTAAAGACAAACGTCAATAAATACACAAGAAGACCAATTAGTCGTTCATTAATGACAATGGCTGCTGTTACATTCAAAATTGGCAATGACTATCAGTACGAGGTTACAAGAGGAAAGTTAATACGAAGTTACAAAAAGAAAAGTTAAGGCATTAGATGTCTTAATTACAATTCGCCTCAGACCGAACGAATTCTTTCCCTAAGTCTCCCCCATTCCTCGCTCTGCTGAGAAGAAGTGACATTCAATTCAACTACAAAATCATCTCAACCTCCAGCTTCTTGTACTGCTCGACCAAAGATTTGGTTCGCTCAATTCCTTGGGAAGCATTACGCTTTTTAGCAGCCATTCTCACCTTGCAGTCATCCATCCTTGCTTGAAGCTCCTTCATCTGTGCAGCCAAACTGGTCATCAAAGAGTCTTCAATCATAATTTCGGAAGAGATTTCTTTCAATTCGTCCTCAACTTTGTTGATCTCCAGAAGCAAAAACTCTCTTTCAGATGCAGCGCGAAGATATTGAGTACTCTTGACCTTCAGTTCAACATTTTTGGCCAGCAAAGAGAGGATGTCAGAGTGGACAACTTTCAACGTCGCTTTAAAATCAGCATAAATATTGAGCGACGGAAGTGTCAATGCTTGCGCCAACTTTACACTCAAATACCCAAGCTTATCCTTATGTTTGGCAGCACTAGCCTGATCGATGTCCATGTCCATAAAAGATACATACTCAAATATCGACTGCTTGAGGAACTTCATATCTTCCTCTGAAGAAGCGGAAGGACGACCGGTTGAAGTAGGGCGAGACGTCTTGACTTGCCCCCAGGAAGTGAACAAGTCCTGGATGGAATGCGTAATCGCATCAGCATCCTACAAAGAAAAATGTCAACATTGAAGGTTTTCACTACAATAAACAAAGTGAAAATAAAAGTGAGCAAAAGGTTACCTCATCAGCAATCTTGGGAGGTGGCATATCACCAGTTGGCTCCACCACCTGTGGCCCCAACACCTGTGGAGACTTCCCCTTGTCTGGACGAGAAGACTCTGCCACAACGGGAAGACCCATGGGAGCCTCTGCATGATTAAAGAAGCAACAAATCAAAAACCAATATCACAAGCAAAGGTAAAACATCAAAAATGTATTACCTTCTGGTTCGACGTTTGGGGGGTCGGCGCCCTGGGAAGAAGGTGGCTCGTACATTGGTTATGATGAAGGTTCCGGGACTGAAGGTTTCTCTTTAAGCGTAGTCCCTTCATCAGTCGGTTTGGACGAAGCAGCTCTAGCAGAGGATGATGGAGTAGGAGCTGCCAACACCAAAGCCTTCAAAGGAGAGGCTGAACTTTTTTGAGAAATTCAAGAAAACCATTAGCACATAGAAAAATATGCTTGTGAGTAAACAGAATTCAATTACCTTTCTCCTGACGATGAGAGAAGTGTCATCATCATCATCATCCAAAATGGGAGATGCTGAAACTGGCTGTTTGCGGTTTGGGACACTCTTAGCTGCAGTAGGTTTGGCAGGTAGAGAAGTAGAGGGACGAATGGATTGTTTAGCACGAGCAAGGGAGGATGGATTCCTAATGGACACGGGGGTGACCAAAATAGGAGAAGTAGAAGGAATGTTTGGCTGATCCAGTGAATGAAAGCATGATTGGCATCAGTTGCAAACAATCTGTGCTTCACTGATGGCCAGATTTGTTCAAAAAGGGGGTGAACGGCACGACTAGGATTGAAGGGGGCTAATGAAAAGTTACTCGTCAAAAGAATATTGTGAGCATCTATAGCTTATATCTCTACCTTATTAATGGTGTGAAAACGATCTATTAAATTTTTTGAATAACAAGGAGGAACAGGCCAAGTTTGGCCAAAACCAAGTTGGTGAGCAAAAAATTGGGGAGCATATATTTCAACCCCAACTTTGGCATTGGTTCCAGTTAAAATATCATGGAACAACTCTCTCCCAGTAAAAAACTGAACCCAAACGAGCAGAGAGGAGCTCGCACTGTCCAGGGTGGATGGAGGTTGCACATAATCTGGAGTTAAATGAGTAGGAAAGGGAAGAAGGAAGGAATTGAATTTAAAGTATAAAAGAATGAAAAAATGTCCCTTCTGAACATATTTACAGGACTCAATGGGTCAATGGCTAGCCCATAGCAGCTAGTAGAACGAAGGGACATGAATAGAGCACCAAGTGATGGAAAATAGGCTTTCAACCACAGTTGAGTGAACCAAAGAGGCCCACTGCCAGTGGGAGATGCACCATTCTTCAATTGAAATTGAAGAGAAGTCATACCTCTATAGAGGGTAGCCAAAAAGAAGGAACACAAATTCAAAGGCCTACCACGCACTAATTCGTGCGCTATGGGTAAATAGCTCATAGAAGACTTCATACTGGGCACACACAGAATATATTTACAAAGTCAAATCTGAAGAAAGGTCACACGCTCAACGTGGGAAGGCTCAGCATTTGAGTGATTATAACAGCCTTGCAAGCTTGAATAGGACTCAGTGAGTTTTTTGTCAAATTTTGGAGTAAGACCAGAAAGCAAAATACCAGAGAAAATGGTGTCGCCCAAAGGTGGAAGATTTATCAGGGCCCCAACATCCCTTAAAGTAATAGATATGGGACCAAGAGGGAAAACAAAAAGTATTATATTTAGAAGACCAAAAACTTAAAGTAATAGGAAAAAGTACTGGGTCAAAAATTAGGGGTTGAAGAGAGATTTCTAATAAATTAGAAATCTTAGCACGATCAAAAATTACCTTGGTAGGACCATGACCCATAAGGCGAGTATGCTATCTACGAAAAACAACATCAGATTTAGGCAAAGTGCGAATACCTTTTTCGCGAATCAGCATCAGCGGCAAAGAGTTCAGGAATGGAGGGCCTTGAGTACAAGGGAACAGCTGGCCCACCGCCACTTGTTCGACGGCTTCGGCGTTGTTGAATGAACGACCCAGATAGAACTCATTAAGTTCGGCATTGGCTGGTGCAAGAGGTTCGGATTTACATATGACCGAGTGAGGATTTTCTGAAAATCTTCGAAGCTAAAAGAGTCGTTAGATTGGGTTTGTGGAGCGCCATTGGGAACGAAATACAGTTTTGTTAAAGTTTGCTTAAAAACGTAGCAGAGAAGCAAGAAGATGAACAGTAATATTGCGAGAAAGGAATGTGAAATAATGAGACGTGATTTAGTGGTGCGATAAAATGGCATGTCTTTGGAGTTTATAAGGTTTGCAACGTCGCACATTTTCAGGCTATGGAAGGAAGTAATGATTGAAATTTTTGGAAATTTCAAATGTTGCGGGAAAACACAAAATAAATATGGCAAAAATTAATAATTAGTATTAATTCTGTCATATTGGGGGGTAATTGTTGACACACTAAAAGTGTAGCCCAAATCGAATGGCTCATGGAATGAAGCCCAATTGAGGAATTCCTAAATCAAATAGTCCAAAGAATGAAACCCAGTTGGGTAATTCAGGATAAAGGCCCAGACAGGATTATTAATAAATGCAGCGAAAGCCCACGAACACAGTAACATCATCGCCCAAGCTTGCAAGATGCCCAAGATCTGAGCAAATGGAGTACCTTATGGTCGTCCAGAGCAATGAACCTGTTCTCACCCATACTTTCGAATCGCCCATGATCTTAGCAAACATAAAATGTTATGGTTATCCAGGAATGCAGTTATTAAAGCAATTATTGAGCAACCTTATCACATTCCACAATTCAAGGAACCCAGTTGAAGGCGGTTGAACGACAAAGAGTAGTGGCAGCAGTTAAAGACGACAGTTCCACGACAAGTTAGCCACTATAGAGAAAGTGGATGGTTATGAAGTAATCAAGCAGTTTCCAAGCGAGTTGTCACAAAGGAATCATCGAGAAAATATAAAAGGAAGAGAAGACATAGAGAGAAAGGACCCCGAATCAAACACTCAAACAGAAAATATATAATTTCAATTTTCTTAATTTAAACTTAAACATTTCTTTCAATACTCGTGTGTTTGCACCACTTGAAAGCATTCTGTTTAGTTCCAATCGTAAATCATCGCCAATAAAACACATCTTTTTGGGACTTTGTCTCAAGAGGTTTGTTTCTTACACCATCGTCTAATCCCTTTTTAATTGTTAGCGACTATCCACGCGAAACAACATCACTGAATATGAACTCCAGAAAGGGAAAAAATTTACGTCTTTGGGCACAAAATACATTAATTAGATTGTCTCCTGCAATGCCATTGTTCATAATATGCTTTTATTGTTGCATTACAAATTACATGAAATCAAAAAATACAAATTGCAATTGATGAACTTTCTAAAGAGACTCCATTTCCTTTCTTTAGACAGCTAAAGCGCTTAGGTTCTCGCTTTGGACACCTACTGCTTGATAGCCGGACCATTGCATATGAAAGTGCCATAGTTTACCTTCCCTTGATCTCGTCCAATCTACTTTAGGCTTGGCTTTTCTGCATCTCTCTCTTGCTTTCTAGCTCCTCTCTCTCTTCCTTGCTGATTTTCTGCTCTAATCTCATTAAGTCATTCTGGTCGCATTTATTTTAAAATTTTAAGCAGTTTTTTGACCGTTATACAGTGCAAGAAAATCCCATACGACTAGCAATTATTGACTACTTCCTAACCTGATAATTAAAGTGAAAAAATTACCTATGTGCCCCTTTATTTTTACATTCAATTCCAAGCTGACATTTCTGGTAATTCAAAATAAAAATAAGACGATTGCTACTTCTTTTCCCCACATTTGTGACTGACATTGGTTTGCATGGTGTAACGGTCCAAAAATTGCTAAAAATCCCATATAAGTACGACCAGACAGGGGCTAAGGAATCAATTAACTGTGAGAGAGTGTTTAATTGTTAATATTTTCTTCGTGAAAAACATTTTCCTACTTTTGATCACATTTTCCTCAAAAACAAAGAAATTATTTTCAATAGGAGTAAACTTTTATTTTCCAGACAATTCACTCCCTCTTTCTTTCTCATCTATCCACCAATAAAAACTAAAACAATATAACATTTTTCAAGTTGAAAATAAAATCAATCAAACACATTAATTAACAACTTTTATGCAAATAATTTCTAGACAATATTCTTTTCATGTAAATTTCATGTTCACAATCAAACACTCCCTAAGATTAGAAAAGAATCTTAGAACTCCCAAAATTCGTCGAATTAAAAGTTTAAATCTACATGTAACAAATAATAATTATACTGTTGAAACATGCTTTTAAGTGGCAAGCTAATTTTCTTCATCCCTTTGCCTTCTTTCTTGTTCTCTCCTCTTAAATGCCTCTTTAAAAATTTACGAAGGAGATATTTAAGAGGAGAACAAGGGAAAAGGCTAAAGAGACGAAAAAAGCTAGGTTATTGGTGTAGAGAGCCACGAAAAGCACACTTCAATGGCATAATTGTACGTCTAAGCTTTTAATTCAATTAGGTTCTAAATTCTTTCTTATTTGATTCCTTAATTCTTAGAAGAAACGGAGAACAAAACCCTTCACAACCTTCCTCCAAAATTAAACCTAGAAACCTCACACGAAATTAAAGAGCTATATCTAGGAATAGAAAGCTAAGACTCATATACAAACAAAAATATTTAAACGTGAATCCATTTTCATTTATTGCTTAGTAAAAAGCCATGGTACAAAACAAGGACATAACCATGCTACACATTGTGAAAAGCGAACAAATTTTCATTATAAAGTCCTGACCCAAGTGAGCAAGAGAACAAACTTCCCACCGCTAATGACACTTCGTCACATCAACAATACATTTTCCTTTATTAACTTATTTATTTAGCTTACCCCATATTACCTATCATTCTATTGTTACTTCATCCCAATAAATGAAGCTTAATCCATTCGGTTGTTACCTCTGTTCCACCCACTCCACAAAAATATATACCCACCCCGAATGACTAAAATATTCAAAAGTATATGATCAAAAAATTAAAAATTAAATATCGGATCCATGAAAATTCTATTTTCTTTAAAATCAAACAAAGAGTAATCCGCTTATACACATAAACGACACATCAAGATTATTTTTTTCATCCGACAAAGAAAAACCTAGTTAGAGATTACACGATTAAAACACAAATCAAAGCATATAAAAGAAATTTTTTTGAAAATTTATTAGTAAATAACTAAAAAAGAAGTACCTATACTTTATAAAAAGATAGATGACCCTGGAAAAGCAAAGAATATTGTAACTTTTTTTCTCAATATAAACTAAAAATATGTGAAAATTGGAGGATAGTGGATAAATTATCGATGGGTGGGCAGGTAAATAGTTATTGGGGTGCTGGAATGGTGGGATTGTTAGGCAAACAACACTTCTATACAACATGTTTCACATCCCTCTCACATAAAAGAGAGGGGGCCGATTTGAGAGGACTGTGAAACTTGCTATATAAAAAAGCTATATGAGCTTCAAACCCCGTAGGAAAGTTAAACTTCATTTATTGGAATGAAGTGACAATAGATGTGAGGCAAAAAGTCAAAACAAAGTCAATATAAAAAATGCACTGCCAATTTGGCAACGGCATATCAACGGTAAGAACTTTGTTATCACACCTATTACATTTTATTTTGTTTGTTTAATATAGCAATTGCAACATAAATTGAAGCTAAACGCACATCTCACATAACCTAAATGAGCAATATTCCTTAGCCTCAACTTTTTCTCAACATATTTGATTAATGAAATCTAGTTATTATATTATCGCAATAATAAAGCCAATATAACAATAACTGATCCATAAACAAAAACACAACAATTCAAAGCAAAACACATGATTTCAAACCCTTATGCACATTGGAGATAGAGATGTCTCAGACATCCAAGGAAGGATAAAAGCAGCAGTAGCTCTCAGGCCTGGCGAAGGCGAAAGCTCTTAGGCGGCCACTGCGAATGTTTTGAGAAACAAGCCTTTGGATTTGTCATCAGAGACATCAAACTAATTTACATTTTTACTTGTAATAAGGAGAAAAAATTGTTCCATCCCTGCATGGCCAGCGCATCATTGGAAAGAGAAATGCTGACAAAGTGATGGATGGATGAAATAATTGAATTCAGGGACTAATCATCCCTAAAGCAATCCAATTCCAATGCTCGAGGGGCAGACATTCAAAGTCCCAATATTATAAATGAAACTGAAATCAATATGTTTTTCAAAAAAGATTACACTTTTACCAAATTCTAAAAACATTAAATAAGAACAGAACCAATAATGAAAGACACACACACAAAGCATATTTGTAGTATTAACACAGACATTCAAACGCATAGTGTCTCAGACATCCAAGGAAGGATTGAAGCAGCATTAACTCTCAAGCCTGGCGAAGGCGAAAGTTCTTAGACGGCCACTGCGAATGTTTTTGAGAAACCAGCCTTAAAATTAATCATCATAGACACCGGGTTAATCAAATCAACAAAGCCAAATTGAATTCTTCTTTTGACCTCTAAATATGAATAGATCCAGTAGCCTACAGAACCTCACCAGCGTGCTGCTGGATCATTTCAGATTTAAAGATCAATACCTTTCAAACAAAATCATAAAATTAAAATAAAGCAAACTATTTTTAGCTATGGTAACAAGCACAAGCCAAACACAGGATAGCGCAAATTCAGCACACTTAAAAAATAAACAATGAGAAACAAGATTGATTACAGATAGAGCAGAAGTGATTACTGACCGGAGCGAGGGGATGAACGGCACTTATAAAGGCTGAAGATGGGGTGTAGGGTTTTGAGATATATGTGATCGTGCGGCGCAAAATTGGGGCATGGAATGGTGTAGAATTCTAGGTGGTGATAGAAGGCCCCGGATTGGGCCGACATTGTGAAATAGCTCGGGTACATACGCGGCCCACAAATAAATAGAGCATGTTTGGGAAAGCTTAAAAGTTTTACTCATGAGTTAATTACTAGAAATTAAAAAGTATGAGAATTGAGAGCTTCTGTGCGTTGGAGAGATAAAGAGCGTCTTATTTTTATGCTATTTGATTTGATTCGTTATACAGGCATATATTATAATTGAATATCTGAGAATTGCTTCAATGAAAATCGGTTCTTCGATTTCCAAACTCAATTATGTGTTTAAATTTCTGTCTGAACAGAAGTGGGGTTCTGCTTTTGGGCTAAAAATATCAGCAGCTGTTGGTGTACTCAGTGCTGCTATTAAATTATTGGCTGTGAAAGATAAAGCTTTGAACTTTAACAGCCTGCTATTGTTATCTGATGGCGATTCTGAGTACTGGACAGTCCCAGTATTGCAAAATCTTCTTGAATGTTATTTTGCAGGTGAATAGAATTTTATCAATGGTCTCTCTTATTTTTCTTGAATGAGGTTGTTTCTGATGAAACTCTGATTTTTCTGTGGTGAATTTGTATAAAAACTTTATTTCCACGGAATATTTTCTATTATGCCACCTGTATTTGATGTTCATGTCATTAGCATAGTTTTCTAATTATATTCTAATGGATTTATATTTGGTTTTTAGGCTTTGGCAAGCTGCTTAAGCTTTTGGAAATATCTTTAAAAAACTGTTGAGGAATTCAAGTTTTCCTCAGATGGAATTGAAAGAATTAAGCGTGCCACTTGTTAATACCTTGGCTTCTCTAATGTAAGGTCTGTGAGAGTTGTTTTCATGTTCTGAAAATAAGAAATCGAATTGAGGAGTTTGCTCATTTGGAAATAAGTGTCTCCGATTCATAATGCAATTGTGGTAAAATTTATCAAATTCAAGTTCGGCATCTTATTCCGAGTAATATTAAGTTTGAACTTGTTGATGTTTATAATCTCTTGTGGTTTAGATGCGTTCTTTGATCTGTGCATATGCTACAAGTTGTTTTCTAGATGTCGGGATTTCATGGCTAGAGCCTAAAAGTGTACTAGTCAGGAATGTGTTTATTTTGCAGTTATGATCCACCTTTACTTAAACTCCATAAGTCATCTTTTATGATAGATTTATGTGAGCTTTTTTGGAATCTTGGAAAGGTTACTAAACGGAAGGATCTTAATTGCTGCTTCAACATTTGTTTTCCACGCATGGTGATGAGTTAGGTTATACGACAAGCTTAAATGATCCGAGAAATTAGTAGGCTTTAAAGTTTCAAAGTGTAAGATTATCATAATTTTTCTCCATTATTGCTTATATGAAGTATTGTGCACTGTTTTCTACTTTATAAAAACCAAAGAAATCATTTATAACTTGTTTTATTCTTTCAGTTTCCATCAACACTTTTAGATGATAAAAGATAGAATTTAGAAAGTCTATTCTCTTCCTGACTGACTGCTTTCTGATTTTGCGTTCTACCTCTTCTGGTAAAGGGGCTTTAGCCTTACAACAAGCTTTTCACCTCATGTTGTAAGCTCTATCTGTATTTTCTTGTCACAGTAGTGATTGCTGTGAAATTAGTTATTGTATTCATAGTATGGATAATGTTCTCACAGCTAGATGAAAGATCATCTGATGTAAATTTTATCTACTTTGAAGCATCTCTAACCCCATCCTGTTCCCCGTCTTCCTCCCGCCCAAACTGCGGTTTATATTTATGGGATGTCAAATTATTTCAATTGACATTTTGTAATGCCACATAGGTCTTCTAAACAATAATAAACTTTTTGTGTCCTGGTTGAATTCAATGATAAGCTTGTTAAGTTGCATTTAACATTCATGCCCAGCATGAATTCATAGCAAACCTGACCTTACAGAATTAGGTACTGTACTGGCATAGAAGAACCGTACTGATTCCAAGAGAACTTATGCTAGCAATGGATAATTACTTTCCAAGTTTCAATCTAACTAGCCAGCAGTTTCTTTTGCGATAAGCATTTGAGCTTCATAATCAATGAGGAAATGTGTTAACTTGAATTTGTCTAGATGCAGGATGCTGAGGAAGCATTCTCTCATCTCGTGTCTTCATTAAGAAAAGAAATCTTAAAGCTGGATTCGAATTGTTAATAATAGCAACGGGCAGGGTGAATGGCAAAGATGGTGGCACAGTTTCCTTGGGCCTTTTGATGGGATTGTTGGCAACATTTTAATATACCAAAGCTGTTAGTTTCAGGTTGATGGTACCAGGAAGAATATTATCATGATATTATTATTTCGAATTGTTCATTGCCCATATTTCAGGTTAGGTAGTTAAGGTAAATACTTTGTATCATATCTATGTTAATAAATTTTTTATATAACGATGTAAATAAATGGAATACATTGACCAATTTTGTTGATTATGTTGACTGTTCTACAATGGTTATCCTCATAATATTGTAAGCTCGATTAGTTGACCTTATAGTGGAAGTAGCAAAATGAAGGACACTCTTTCAATCTTTCATACTTTTCTCTTTGCCCCCATTAAATTTCATTACATTACATTTCATTTCTCTCTCTCCTATTTTCAACCACACAATCTTCCATAAAATAATATTACAAGTAAATTGAAAATTTTTCCTTCTTTTTCAACCACTCATTTTTCAAAAAAATACTATTCCACCAATTTTTATTTCTAGAAAATGGGGGCCAAACGGGGGCTTTAAGTGAGTTCAATATCAATGAACCCGGATTATTGCAATTGCTCAGGATACCCTTTTTAGCTTCTAGTTTCTATTTTATTTGTTTTACCTTTCTATCTGTAGATATCTCTTGATTTTCAACTATTTCACAGTTTGCATCTTTCGCCCCAATCAACCATAATGCTCCAACAGTATGGTCTTACAATTGTGATACAAATGCTTTCTATACCTTTATATTCAATACCTTCCTGAACCCGAATTATTGCAATTGCTCAGGATACCCTTTTTAGCTTCTAGTTTCTATTTTATTTGTTTTACCTTTCTATCTGTAGATATCTCTTGATTTTCAACTATTTCACAGTTTGCATCTTTCGCCCCAATCAACCATAATGCTCCAACAGTATGGTCTTACAATTGTGATACAAATGCTTTCTATACCTTTATATTCAATACCTTCGTCGTGGTGATGTTTTCTGGTATATATATATTTGGATGGAAGAATGCTCTCTAGAGGATTGCCTCAAGCATTTTTTTTGTTGCCAAACATCTTGAGAATTACTGATGCAGCCACTGTTGGCACAGTGCTGCAATAGAATATGTGTCTACAGTAGCTGAAGATAACGTAATTTTTCATTCCATACTGAGATTCGTCAGCTTGGCTAATACTTATGACCCTAATGTTGTGGATATGATCACCATAAAATTTTCTATCACAGTCTTACCCATTTATGTCATATTTGGTAGTGAAGATTGGTTAGCACTGGACACTATTAAGGAAAAATCTTGTTCATTATATTGTCGATGGTGGTCAAGTACTGCGTACGAACATGCACTTATGGTCATAGCTTTTAGCTTCTATGAACTGAAAGCTTCTCTTTTTTGTCTATCTTGGCTGGCATATTTCGTAACAAAACAGTTGGAAATTTTGAAATTACTTGTGTAATCCTGATATATACCTTTTTTTCCAGACGGATATTGGAAAACTACAAAGTTGTACTCATGATGATTCATGCGACTGCGAAACTCTTTCTTCCCTTCAAGGATTTCCAAGGTCAAACAAGTTCTGTTGTGTTTTCAAACAACTCAATATTGCACAGAGTCCAAAAGAATGTATATACATTTCCATAGCCTTGTGTCTATTGAAGCTTGGCAGTAGTTATTGAAGTTTTATTATATGCTGTATAAAGACAGATCATGATATTATTAATTGGGTTCATGGAGGAGGGGAAAATAAAAATCTTGAACATGGCATCCTCAGTGTATAGTTGATAAAGTTA